GTTTCTAGCAGCAGTCAGAAGGGGAGACATGAAACGGTAAAAAAAATGAAACAAAACACAAGGCAGCCCAAGCGTCCATAGAAAGTTCCTTTGTTCTGCACAGAATCTCGTTTTTCTGGCTTGGTTGGTGGGACTGGCTCTTCAGCTTCAGGGTCATTGATTGCAAGCGCTCCTTCGTAAGCTCGCTTTGCTTCTTCATAGCGGCGCGAGTCGATGCGATGCCTGGCAGCATCATGCTTGCTTTTGATGGTGTCGAAGTAGTACAAAACTTGAAGGACCAGCCACAGGGCAATGGATTTGCCATCCCCAGGTTCACCATGCTGAAGCATCAGGATGTTGGGGAACTTTCCTAAGATGCCTCCAAAACGGACTTGAACGGCGTTCAGGACCAGTGACAACATGATGAGAAGGTGCACAAAGGCGCAGCTCTGATGCAAGCTCGTGGCCCGCGCTAGGGCCCCAGCGAACTGCCAAGAACAGGGCACAGTTTGGGCCATAGTCTCGGAAGGGAAAGGGCACATGGTCTCTAAGAGCTTTGTGGCTTGGCGCACATCTTTGCCATTCATGGTGCGCTCCTCAGGCATCGCTGGCGTGTATTTCCCTCTTTTCGCAGCACGTGCTCCACAAACCAAAGCCAAGCAGAGGAAGTGTCGAAGTGGGGACATCTTACAATGCGTGCACCGAGACAGAAACCGTGGATGCCTCCGTGAGGGCAAGGTGCTTTTGAGCAGAGCCGGCTCTTGCAGCAACTGAGTTTGGCTTTGGAGATGCATGTGTTCCTGGGGCAGGTAATCAACACATTTAAATACGCAATGTTCCTGGAGGACACCATCTTCAGTTTGACTCTTGGGATGTTGCCTACGTTGCAGAGCTGACTTGCACAGCTTTTGTGAAGCGCAAGCCTTGCGACAGTTGCATCACTTTCCCAACTTGCCCAACTTCTTTCCACCCAGCTTCGCCGATTCGCCCCAGGTGGCGCACCACGTCACATCATCAACATCATCATTATCATCAGCAGGAGCATCAGTGACATGTCCTTTGCGCCTTGTATACAGTTGGCCAGTGAAGGCTCCGAATGTCGCAGCGCTGTATACCTTGGCGCCGCGGATGGGTGACAAGCGGGGTACTATACGCGTTCCCACAGGAACAGAGCACACACTTTAATTAGGCTTGATCATGATGGATGTGTTTTAAAGCACTTTTCTATCTGATTTGCAAGTCAAATGGGGCGTTTAGAGGCAGATAAAGATGTCAATGCTGTCAGGGACCTTCTCCGCCTACCAAGTTGCTTCGCCTTGGCTCATGGGCAACGGGAATGCTAGACATTCTCATACAGGCAGTCGGTGGGCAAAAGACAGGGATTGCCATCCAGCAACGATAGGGTAAAGACAGACAACACAGCTAAACCACTGGACCTGCGGGCTACGGCGAACCAGCTTGAATCTTTTTTTTTTTGAAATGCATGTTTTTACCCTATGATATTCTCTTTCCCATACCGCCTCTTGGCAACACCTCGCAAAGAATAGAGAAAGCAATGCATCCCTCCAAAAGTCTTTGCGCAAGGATGGCGCGTTGCTGAATTGAGTTTCTTCATTGCGTCGCGGAGTCAGACTGACCGGCTCCTTTGATGGCAAGAAACCGTTTGGATTGAGAGTACCACAAGGCAAATGTATGGTTGAACACAAATGATAGGGAACTCGTCGCGCCGCAGCCTTTCCCACATGCGGGTGTGATTAGTTTGGGCAGGCGGGGAGGACCCCAAACTCAGCAAACATGATTTTGAAACATTTTGGACATGATTTGGAAGTAAGATGCAACTGTAAGAGCGGGCACCTGTACCCAACGGTCATGAATCCGATTCCTTTTCCACTGTTAAAGCGGGCAACCTTTCATCACAGGATGGTCAGTATGGACGTGCTCAAGTCCCAACTTCATTGCCCAAACGCTTGGATCATGGAACCTTGGGGCCGGTCACTTCAACCCTTCACATCTTAATGCAGCCAGCAACTCCAAGTGGGCTGCCTTCTCGTCCGCCAACTGAAACCAAGCCAGAGGCTTTGCTGTCGCACCTTGGGCTTGGACCATGTACCTGGAAGGCAGGCGAGATGTGCAAAAATTTGGGGTGCTTCAAATGGGAGCTTCAAACTGACCACTGCCAGATTCAAATAGAACGTTACCATTGAATAACGATTCGCCACTCCAAACGTTGACATAGAACTTTTTGAGCAATTTACCGGGTATTGGCTTGGAACCGCCCATATGTCAATGCATCACCGGTGTCTTGGAGTGATTACTGATTCGAAACATTGTTTTCTTCCGTGTATCACGGTGTCTTGTCAGCATGACATCGTCAGGGTTTGCTTACAATGACGGAATTGGCGGGCCACGCGGGGAAGTCTGTCTTTCACAGCGCTCTTCCCCTCTGCTCAACGGCGCCCAGGTGCGGCCGCTGGTCGTGCACAATGAAAACCTGGAGGCATCAGAGCTGCCAGACATGACTGTCGCTGAATGAGGTGCGAAATCGCAAAGAAAAAGGAAGAGAAAGTTGAGGTTTCTGGGCTATCCTTGGAAGTGCATGAGGATCTGGCATGGAGAACACCTATTTTCAGAAGGTATTAAGAGATATGAAACATGTGAGGAACAAACGGCAAGAACAAAGAAGTCACGGGTAATGATTGCGTAGCAATTTTTACCCACTGCGAGTCTTGTCAGGATCATGCTGCATCTTGCCTTTGGCAAATCGTCTTCGCAAGCAGTCAGCCTCTGCCTCCAACCAAACATTGTGCTGCTGGAACAAGGTGCGCCAATAAATGGCAAAGCGACCAGGTGGCATCTCCAAGCTGGATTTGGTTCTTCCTGTGATCCAGCTGTTCAGCTGTTCGCACGCTTCAGTGTTTTTGTTTTTCAGCAGCGCCGCATTTTGCGGTGTGTCCGGGTTTGTCTGGGGAAGATTCTTCAAGCACCACGTATGATTGCGCTTGTGGAAGTGGTCCAGAACCAGCCCAATTTGTGAAAAGTTGGTAGACCATGGCGGCCTGCTATCCTTCTTCTCTTGCACTGTTTTCCACAGCTTGCAAGCATTATCATAGGCAACGCAAGAAATGGAAACCCCACGCGTCTGCATGTCTTTGAGAAACTGAAGGAGAAAGACGTACACTAATTCCATTTGCTCCCCACGCCACATCTCGATGAAGTCGGCCAACAATCCGCAACTAAGCACACAAGTCAAAATGCCTCCTGTGGTTCGGCGGCGGCGGTGGGTATCTTTGTCGACTGTGCACTCAGTGGGCTCTAACTTGGCAGGCTTGGCAGGCAAACGTGGCTTCTTCTTGACACGCGCCTTCTTGGGTGCCAGAATGCTTGAACAAGATGCATCGTTTTTTCGCAGCCACCGAGCTTTTTGTCTCGAGCCCTTGGCTTTTGCAGCTTTTTTGTTGCGATGATCTGTCTTTTGTGGCAAAAGCCCTCTTTCAAAGGTCAGGAGCAAATCTTTTCGCACCTCTTGGTGCGGCAGAAGCAATTCCACTACCTGCGAGGCATCAGAAGGATCTTTGCATTGCACGACGTACATGATCTCAAGGCCTTGGCCGTCAGCATCCTCGCGCTCTTCTGTGCCAAGCACGGAAAGCTGATGGGCAATGAGGTGGTCATGTTCGGGCAAGTGGCGGCATGCAGAGCAATGCTGGTGCTTTGCGTGCGCAAAGTTGGTGCAGCCAGAAGCGAATTCTACGCCAAGGTCTGGGAAGGATACTGTACCATCTGTGCCTGTCATGGCCAGCGGGGGGGAGGAGGGCGGAGCTACAGTACTTGCAGGTTTCTAGAAAACTGTATGAGAAAAATGGGTATGCTTAAGCTGCTTTGGAACCTCACACCCAGGACGCCGAGTCTTCGGGACCTATGTTTGTCAAAGAGCGGGTATAGGTCCAGAGAAAGAAAAGTCTCAAGCCAAAGTCAGATTTTTTTAGGGGTCGCTGGCGAACTTTATTGTAGCTCACCCACACACAAAAACCAGGGAAGAAATTAAGAGAAGCCGGCACCGGGTGTACACTCTGTCCTGGCCTGCGCAAATCAGTCGCCGAGCGCCAGCCTTCCCATCCACAATGAAGCAAGGATTGTCATGACAGCGAGGGCATGCTTTGATATGGGCCGCAACCCAATCTAAATGCTGCTCTCGGATGGCCGCTGTATGCGCTAACAAGGAAGCGTCGAAGCCGGCTGGGGTCATATCCCAAACAATAGGCTCAGCTAGCTGGCCTGCCATGTCAAAGGCCCTCCAAGAATACCAAGCGGACAACAAGTTGCTGATGGTATGCGGCAGCTGAGTTCTGTCTGGGCCCAAGAGCAAATCCTGCTGCCAAGCCTCTGAATGACGCATGGCCCATACCAAGACTGCAGCCTTCATCGACCCTCCGCTGAAATGCAAGCTGTCAGTGAGGTGTTTGAGAAGTGCTATTTCAACCGCAAAGAAGCTCCGGTAGCGAGGTATAATGAAAAAGCCATCTGCGGCGGATGACTGACATTGCAAATTTGATATATGCCCGTAGCCAGACTGTTGCCGCTTGAAAGACCAATTCCCCAAGAAGTACTTGCGGCAAGCCGGGCACTGCTGCTCCACAAAATCCGCCCACAAGAGGCCTGCGTTCAAAGAGTAGACCTTGTAGCGATTGCTACTATGTCCTCCGAGACGCAGCCGCATTGTTTGCAATGGTGGCTTCGGCAGCTGGGGCTTTCTCCCGAAGATCATGGCCGCAAGGACATTGGGACCTGGCACTGGACACCCGCACCACAGGGAGCGTCGGGCAATCCTTTTGCAAGTCTTTGAGAGAGGACAACAGTGGCGCCACAGTGCGCTGTCCGCATGTGAGCGCTGGCAAGTAACGAGCAACTTTCCACACCACATTCTCCGAGCTATTTGATGCTAAAGACTGCTTGTGCCAGGCCCATGCTAAAGATCGCAACACAGCTCCGGCAAGGGGGATGGGCACGAGCTGAAGAACCAACACTACTGTTGCTGCAGCGCTTGCCTCAAGAGGCTGCAAAAGAGCTGCCCATGAAACTTCTGCCATGGCAACAGAAGGAGTGACAAGCTTACTGCAGTGCAAAAAAAACAAAAGGCGTCTTGAATTGCTGAACGTTGGTAGCCAGTGCTGCTAGTCATGGCTGTCTAATCTGAACTGCTCTTCATGTGGCCACTTATTGCTGTTGGGCGTTTCTGCGGCGGATGTATGATGGATTGCACTCGAAGTGGCCTGTCCCAGTTGAAGTTTAAAAGGGCCTATAGTTCGCTGAAAACAAACTGGAGGAGAACGAAAGAAGAATCCATTCTAGGGCCCTCTGGCAAAATTTCAGCGGGCCCACCAGTGAGTCTGCTGCATTTCATCCCGCCGAGGTGCGGTAGAGCATCTCTGCGCTGTCTCATTTTTACTCTTTGCACCGCACGATACGCGATGGCCTCATGCAGTTCCAAACGGGGTTCCGAACTTAACACGTGCAAGTCAGTCATTAGGTCACCATGTCTTGGTCTGAGGCAAGGCGCGCACATCAAACTCAAACCGTTTTGAGACATGTATACGGGAACAGCGTAACTGAGTGAGTCTGCTGCATTTCATCCTGCCGAGGTGCCGTAGAGCATCTCTGCGCTGTCTCATTTTAATCAACACGCCACGCGAAAGGCGATGGCCTCAGTTTCAAACAGAGTTCCGAATTCAGCCTGTACGATATTTGGTCACCGCTTCTTGGTCTGAGGCAAGACCCACACATCAAACTGAAATTGTTTTGAAACATGTATAGGGAACAGAGTAACTTCCAAATTCCACGACTGAACCTTCAACTAGATTTGGCGATGCAGGCGCCATATATCAGATCATGAGGAATGCGTGATGGGTTCTTGGCGTGGCACACACGAGATCATATTCAGAGTATACCCAATTCACACGCTTCGCGCATGGGAAAACACCTGAGAAGAGAAGAAGGTGGTATGAGACAATATATGAAGTGGAAATTCCGAAGGGGCTACAGTAAAGACACTGCCAGCCGTCGATCAGAGGTGGAGGGCCTATGAATTGGCCCATTTGCCACTACGGACTTGTAAACTGAAGTGATGTTACCTGCAACAGCTTAAAGAGAACAGCTTGTTGTGACAACTAGCAGGTGCAAGAAAGTCGGCAAGTCTGCCTTCTCACTTCTATCCGCAGCTTCATTGCGTGTGTGCCAGACGCCCCTGCGATTCTTGGTTCCAATGTGCACATGGAGCGAGTGCGCTGAAGTGATATTACCCGCAACCGCCTGAAACGAACGGCTTGTTCATGACAACCTGCAAGTACAGCAAAACTGGCAAGTTTCCCTTCCCACTTCTATATCTTCTATCCGCAGGTTCGTTGCGTGTGTGCCAGATGCCCCTGCGATCTTTGGATCCAATGTGCACATGGAGCGGGTGCTCTGAAGTGATGTTACCTGCAACCGCCCGAAGGGAACAACTGGAACTTTCAACCTCCCCTCGCAAGTTTGCATCCAAACTTTCAACCTCGTCTCGCAAGTTTGCATGCAAACTTTCAGCCCCGCCTCGCAAGTTTGCACGCAAACTTTCAACTCCACTTTCCGAATTACCTTAAAATTAGATGACATTTTTACCTTAAAAATTACCTAATTAGGTAGGAAATTAAGAATTAATCCATGAATTATACAACTATGAGGCAGGAAATTGCCTAACCTGATCTTTTGGGTCTCGAATTTCGGATCTCGGATCTCGCATCTCGAATCTCGAATCTCGGATCAGATCTCGAATCTCGGATCTCGGATCTCGAATCTCGGATCTCGGATCTCGGATCTTGGATCTCGGATCTCGAATCTCGAATCTCGGATCTCGGACCTCGAATCTCGAATCTCGGATCTCGGATCTCGGATCTCGAATCTCGGATCTCGAATCTCGGATCTTGCATCTCGGATCTCGGATCTCGGATCCACGGATCTCGAATCTCGGATCTCGAATCTCGAATCTCGAATCTCGGATCTCGGATCTCGGATCTCGGATCTCGGATCTTGCATCTCGGATCTCGGATCTCGGATCTTGCATCTCGGATCTCGGATCTCGGATCTCGAATTTCGGATCTCGAATCTCGAATCTCGAATCTCGTATCTCGGATCTCGAATCTCGAATCTCGGATCTCGGATCTCGGATCTCGGATCTCGGATCTCGGATCTCGGATCTCGGATCTCGGATCTCGAATCTCGGATCTCGGATCTCGAATCTCGAATCTGTCCGTTGTCAAGTGCGTTCTGAAATTTACCAATCAGCAGCTGAGGCTCTGATAATCCGGAAAGCACTCCAGAAGTAAAGTGGGCACCTGAACTCGGCACCGCAGCATCGATGTTTGCAACAAATCACCTACAAAGCTGAGTCCCCGAGCATCAACGTGAAAGTTCGTTCGCAACTCAAAACCTGGGCCGAGAACTCTGCGGTGACCATTCAGATATAGGAAATCCCCATCTGGTGATTCACCTTTTCAATATGTTTTTAATACAAAGAAACCATAGGAACTATAGGAACTATAGGAACTGGTGACTTTTTGGACTGAGCTTGGCTGAGCTTTTCACATGCTTCCTCGAGATCTTGGAGATGGATATTCTCATCTCTGTCTCGGTCGAAGAACCTCAGATCTTGATCCCCAGGTCTCCCCAGGTGGTCAACTGAGCAGCTGAGGCTCCCAACTCAAAAGCGTCTCGGAGCTCTTCGTTGGATAAAGGATGAACCTGTGCTGTGCATGTTCGATCAGTCCCGCAAGCGTCCCTATCAGCTACCATTGCTATCATCGCTATCATTGCTTTCATTTAAATCGTTGGTCAGTTGAACGTGCCAACAAAGTCTCATTTCGTCTGTGGAAATCCACAAATTCACACAAATCCGATTTTCACATCTGCCAACAGAGTTGCCCCTTCTGTTCAACTCTCCGTTCGAGCATTGCTGGCGACCCGGGTTGCACCTTCTCTCTGCCAGCCACACACTCCAGCCATGCCCTGGCAAAGACACCATGGACAACAGTTCCCAGTGTGGAAATGCCATGAAATACCATCGTGGTGGATCTTCAAGAGTGACACCTAATCATAAGAGATGATGTTCAGAGTGTCTTCCAAATCTTCCGAAATAGCATGTTCTCATGACTTGTTTCCACGCCATGAAGTCCTCCAGCCTCGCGCATTCGCGATGCTTCTCATAGCCGTCCTGCAGATTTCGCTTCGAGCTTCGACACTGACACGACACTGACACGACACTGACACGTCTGACACGTCTGACACGTCTGACAGCTCCCTTCACCTTCAGCATGAAGTTCACAAAAACGGGAAAATGATCCGAAGGACTCGGCAGACATCTTTCACCAGGACTCCAAATTGGACACGTCAGCAGGGGAAAACCGGAAAACCTCAAAACCGCATGAAAATGTGTGCCATGTCTGTGAAACCCCCCGAGCTCAAAACTGTTCCGCATTGGGAATGACCTGCACACGTGACTCTGGTGATATCTGGTGATCTTGGGATGGGATCCTCATCCACAATCCCAAATCATCTTAAATCATCCACAATCCCCAGGACTTCCATTTTTTTCCCGGCTGAAACCGTCACCGTGAAACCCTGGCAGACCAAATAGATCTCACTGCTCTCGGGTCTGGAGGCGGAAGGCTTGGCAAAGCGCACCTCACTGTTCCGGATCACAGTAGCAATGCGTATCGAAATCTTCGAACGCCCTGTGATCCCCTGTGATCCCCTGTGATCCCTGCCGCTCCGATGGGTCGTGACGGTCACGCCTTGTCGAAGTGCTGCTCCAATTCGGCCTTGAACTGCTCCAGTGAACCTCCCTGAAAGACTTTGGTGACCTCGGAAACATCGTGAAATCTGGGTGAAACACAGTGAAACCATGTTGCAAGAACTAAAATATGAGAAAATCATGGAACAAAAAGATCTTCAACAGAATTTTTATTGTGCAATTCCTGTATTCCTTATCTCCCTTTCTGGCAACCGATAGCTGAATCCAATCAGCTATCGCAGCTCTGAACATGTCCCCTCTCCAAATATGTTGACTTGTGAGACTGGTGCAAACAGGTCAAAAGCTGATTGCAACAAGCCATCACCATAATCATGCGGATATGTATATGTATATATAGATACTGTACCCAATAATTGGTTCAACAAGAAGTATCAAGAAGTAACATCTCTTCAACTTCTGATGTTTTCTTTCGCCCCTTTAAATCTAGTACTACTCGTAACTAGTACAGTAGATAGTATTGCAATGTGGGCCAACCAATCATAATTTACATTAATTTACCATTTTTTCATGGTCAATACATACTCATTTCTGATATTGGCGATGAACACACATGGTGTATTAAGTAAAATAAATCTATACATTACCACATGAGTGGTTGATGTCCCAGCCGCGAAGCAGCCGTTGCCGCGCAGGAATTTCAAGGCCCAGCGCAGGGCCGAACGGTTCAGCTCCACGGAGCTGATGTGGTCGTCCATTTTGGAACCCGACATCCGGGGCGCCTCAGCTTTGGGAGGTTCCCCATGGGTGAAGTCTGGTGAAAGGGATTTATGGACACAGCATATGAAAAATGGACATGATATCATGATATGAAAAATTTATAGATATTGATCCATAGCCATGTCTATCTTCATGGAACTTACCTTTTTCTCACAAAGAGATGCATTCTTAGTGTCCAGCCAAATCCGCAAGCACCACACTCGCCTGACGCAGTGTTGAGAGCACCACTGAAGACTGTCCATGATATCATAACCACCCCAGTCATGTCTCTTTTTAAAATAAAGAACCCAACTCTCATGGGCATGGGTCAGACTTGAAGACTCACAGAACTATAAATGCTTACCCTCTGGTAATTAAACATAGCT